CACCCCCCTGTGAGTACCATTCCTATGCTCCCCCCCCCCCCCCCCCCCCATCCCGAGGAGCCTTAAGGGGCTTTCAGACCAAACGCTGCCTGAGCTGCACTCACCGAGGGGTTCAGCACAAAATGTTGGCCCATTTTTGATTACTCGTTATCTTTTTTTTGCACAGGAGTGTAGATTTATTTTTTGGAGAAAGCAGGGTCACAGGGCCCCTGGAGTAGTTGAGGATTAAAGGCCTTACTCAGGGGCCCAGTGGTGATATTGCACTGCCAACCCTTCTGCTCACTGGCACAGTGCCCCAAGCCACTGAGCCGCACGTCGCCTCCTATATGTCCCCAGAATTCCAGAATATTCTGTTACTGTAATATGTATAATACGCTTATAGAAATTCATTTATTTAAGTATGAAGTTAAAGTGGTTGATCCTTCATCTCCCCGATGATTCTCATGTCTCTAGCGCCTCCTGCTGGCCCCTGCAGCTTGCAGTGCTGGAATGGTGGTAGCTGCTTCCTTAACGCCCACAAGAAGCCCAAGTGTCACTGTTTGGCCAGTTACCGTGGCGAGAGGTGCGAGATTGACCAGTGCCAGAACTACTGCCAGAATGGGGGGATGTGCACCACCTCCCACACAGGTGAACCCCCAGGGACACGTTCGCACTTAAGGCTTAAGGGCCAATTTAAACTTCACTTTTCAGTGCACATAAATTTCATCCCCAGAAACACATACAGTAATAGTAATTAATAACAATAATCTTTCTAGATTAGAGAGTTAGGGTTAGGGTTAGGGAGGAGTTCCCAAATAGTTCAAACATAAAATATGTAAATGTCCAAGTGCCGCACCTATTTCTCTGGACACAAGTTGGTACCGCACTGTAATATACTGTAGTACATTGTGTGAAAAGCTACCCACTCAAAATTTTTAACTGCCCTCCCCCCAGCCTGAACAGTCTAGATCTGGGTCCGATGAGGAGGAGCGAAGGTACCCACCTATCTAACTTTTCAGAGTGTCCAGACATTATACCGTAGTATACGATATTTTCAAAAGCAACACTGTTCCAGCATTTTGAAATAATCTTCATAAAATTTGCTGAGCAGGGTTGCGGGTTTCAACCAACCAGTTGAGTTAAGAGTTACAATCATAGACTATCCAACTGAACCAAAATCTTCGTCTGGATTTTCACTTTCTGAACCAGAAATTCCCACCTCTGTTACTCTTTCTTTTGTTTTTTGCCAACCTCTCCCCCCTCCTGCCGCCCTCCGCTCTCTTCGTCCAGGAGTACCGACCTGCCACTGTCTTGTTGGCTTTACTGGTCCCACGTGTGAGACCCATACTTGCCAGGGGTATTGCCTGAGTAGGGGATCCTGCTCTGTGACTCTGGGCAACCAGCCCAGCTGCTCCTGCCTTGCTGGTTTCCTGGGGGACAGATGCCAGTACAGTGAGTGTGTATAATGTGCCAAAGCATTGAGCTGTGTGAGACAGTAGAGGAAACATTCACGCATATGTTGCTCTGGACAACCACAGAATGCAACACAAACAGCAAAACTGTGTGAATTACAGAAGATGGACACCAGTATTAGTTTGATGACTGATCTTAAAAAAAAAAGAAATCATGTCATTCTTCGAGACTTTGACATGTTTGATGCCTGCGGGTTCTAAAGATGGTTTTATAGAGTGTTCTTCATGTTTCCATTCTGAGAGGTTGATAGCTGATAACAGTATTAACTGTCCTGCAGGTACATGTAATGGCTACTGCAAGAACAAGGGCATATGTCAGCAGGTCACTGACGGCTCCCTGCTGTGTCGGTGTCCCCTGAGGTTTCATGGACGCTTCTGTGAGGTGGACAGCTGTCTGTACTGTGGGAGCGGCCACTGCATCCTCCACAGCACTCCCAGTGGAGGGGTCATGTGCAAGTGTGTCCCCTTGTTTCTGGCACTGGATGTCTGTCTGTGTCCAGGCCTGACTTCCTGTTCCTCTTGCCCTGACTTCCTGTTCCTCCTTTGTCTCCAGCTGCACCGACGGCAAGGTTCGACCAAGCTGCTTCACATGTGACGATTACTGTGTGAACGGGAACTGCACTATGGACCCTGACACTGAACTACCAGAGTGCCAGTGAGAGACGGACCCCGCACTTCCACACACCTACCACACACCTGCATTATTAGCACACCGACTGAATGCTTACCTGCTTTATATGCGTGCAGGTGCAGTGAGGGATGGACGGGGCACCGCTGTGAGAATTCTGCCTCTTCCAGGGAGCGGGGCTGGGCCAGTGGTACGGATCCAACGGCTCTTTCATTTATTAAAACTCTTTGTTTATTTTTGAGTTTAAAGGCTGTTTTTTGCCTTTTAGTTGGCTCTACCTCAGCTACGATTGCAGTGCTGCTACTGCTTGCAGTGCTGCTGCTTGTTGGCGCCATCTTCTGGTACAAGAGGAAAATGAGTGGGTAAGTTGCCATTGTTGGGCTAAGGTTGAGTCTTGGGACTTGTCAGTTTCTTTCCTCCATTGTCTGTCTGTCTGCCTGTCTGTCTGTCTTTCTTTCACAATTCAGCATAAGAAATGTAATGATGGATTGCCACACACTCTTGTCGAGTGCCTGTTGTGAAAGGTGCTATATAAAAATATGTTGAATTGAATTGGCGTCACACCTGTGTCTTGGCTGACTATTTAGCCAGTCTGTAGTAAACTGAGCCTTTCACTTACTTCCCACTGTGTGTCTTTTATTCACCACTATGGTAAATAATCATTGTCAAATTTTTGTTTTTTTACAGTGCTATTCTGTTTGATGTACAATAGTTATGAGACCATGTTATCTGAAATGCATTAAAATATTTACTTCCATATTAGCAAAGCTCTTCATTGGGGCATTTTGGGCATGCTCTCAGCCTGCATGTCCTATGACTCTTCTCTGGGCATTGGTGCCATCTGGACATGCACAGCGTCCATATGTGGCATGGGTCTTCATTGGTGCATTCTGAGCATGTCCATTGCCTGTGCACGCCATGGCTCTTCATTGTGGTGTTCTGAGCATGCTCATTGCCAGTGTGTGCCATCGCTCTTCATTGTGGTGTTCTGAGCATGCTCATTGCCAGTGTGTGCAATGGCTCTTCATTGGTGCATCCGACGCTTGCTGAGCTTAGTGTTTCATGTGCGTGTATCTATTGAGTCTGATCTCACCATTGTCTTTGCTGCAGGGCCAAGGGGTTCCAGCATCAGAGAATGACCAATAGGCCCATGAATGTGGAGATTGGGAACCCTGCATACAAGATATATGAAGAAGAGCTAGATGATGGCGCAATTGAACTGCTGAATGCAGATTTCTCCCTGGACCCAGACCAGGTTACATAAACATATTTCTCCTTCTTAGACAGGGAGGGGCCTGTTCAGTGACATGCTGAACAATAGGTGGAACATTGGTGAAATAATTGCATTTGTGACCAAAAGGATTCAGGTTTGACATGTGACACTCAGGGCTAGGGGCGCTACTAGGATCCCTCATGCTTCCACTTTCTAGTTACACATAACTAAAATGGCTGGAAGTCCCCCCCCTGCTACCCTACATCACCATTGATGTGACCCTATGAAGACGTGAACATGCCCAGTTCGCCTGTGTTTGTGTGGAAATCTGGGTGCCCCGTGACTGACCTCGGTCCTCCGGTTCTTCCTGCAGCCCATAAGCTTCACCAACCGGGTTTACGCGACCCTGAACATGGGAGTCCACAGCAGCCTGGACTCACTGTCCAGCATAGAGGAGATGGAGGAGTTGCTTGCAGAAGCAGAGGACGATGCAGGGGACTTTCCTTACATATGTGACACCCTGAACATGGGAGCAAACAGCATCCTGGACTCACTGTCCGGCATGCAGGAGAAGGAGGATGATGCAGAGGACCCCTTAAAGTAAAGAACCCTAACCCATAGACACAGCCTGCTTAATGTGACACCCTGATCCAGCCTCTTTATTAGAAAAAATAAAAAACACTAAAAACATAAAAATAATTGACTACTTTGTATGTGAATATAATTTTATATTTTGTTCTGTTTGTGCTCTGCTGGTGGGTTACAGCATTCCCAAATCAGTGGGAATGGAAAATTGATGACAGAAAATGCAGTTTTGTGCGAGTTCACACTTGATAGCTCAATGCTCAGTTCACACAGATAAAAATGAACTTTGAGCTACTATTTTTCAGTAGAATCCCTTCTCCATCCACCCACCACGCCCAATCATTGCCACTTCCCTAACTAAATGGGTTATTGTACACTACTATCGAATCACAGGCAGAGGTTACTTTTAAAAGCCAACACCAATGTGTTTTATCACTTAATGTATCACAAAGTAGGACAACTCAAAATACATTTGTTTACAAATGTAATTCAGCTTGATATACAGTTTTTATTATGCAGAAGAGGTGTAGTGAAGTTATAGTGTAGATGCAATGGAATTTCATTTCAATGTGTCATTTCAAATTCGTTGCAGATGTGGCTGGCGTTTGGACTTAGCATAAAAGTGATTTTTTTTTTTCCCATTGGAATCTGTACTGATTTGTTCATAAAAGTCCGTGAAATGTTCATACAAACCAGCTTCAGCAGAACCAGTGGCAGCGTTGTTTGATATGCTGGTATTAGCCATGCCAGACGCCTGAGTGCGCTCAATGAACGCTGCTTATTGGCGTCAAGCATAAAATTGCCAGTGGTGGTCTGTCAGGGCCTTCAGGGTATTCACTGGAGAAGTTAATGCAGTTTCATAACAAAGCTTATCATAGCATTTAAAGTGGATTTGGCTGCTCTGATCTCACTGGCTGACTGCAGTGTTGCAAATGTGACCCATCTTACTGGATAAACGATCTATAAAAAGTGTCATTCAGGCAGTATCTAAAGAGCATCCAAATCTATAGTAAGTGAATTATTGATTCAATTGAGCACAACTGTCAGTTTGTCATTGTTCAATTTTTTATGATGCATGTTTGATATACCCAGACTAAAAACCAGACCAAGTAAATGACACAAATCAGTATTTCTGAATTTATTAAAAGTAGAGACAAAGTTCTCTTTCCATGACATTATCTCTTATGGTTTCCAATTATTACACTTGTCTCTGACCATATTGATTTGAAGAAAATGCATAGAATGCAAGGAGTAGTGTGCATTAGTTTATGTTTAATTAGTGTACTAACCGTTACTGGTATACTGGGATCTAATGAGCCATTTTCCGCTGCAGACATCACTGGTAACATGACCTTAAAGATCAGTTGGGATGGATATTAATTGATCTGAATCTCCAAAACATCTGGGTGCCTGATTATAGTTTAATATTTATTTTGCAATTACTGTATCTTCTTACTAAATGTGCAATAACTTATACAGGATTGCCAGCACAGCCTTGTAGAAATCACAGGCACACTGCTTATTAAAAATGCACACATATGTGATATGTGAAAATATCACGTTTTTCTGGTTCATTTTCTAACCAAGGAGAATCTGTACTAGCCAGTTGCTCTGTACTGCAACACCTGGGCTGCAGTGGCTGTACAGGACTGATGGCACTGTAACAACTGTACTGACTGTACACTAATGTACTGGACCATTCTGAAAACCTCCATTCAGTTTCTCAGATGCGCCTTATTGCCATCAACAGCTTGATATAAAAGTACAAAATTCAGCTTGATATAAACACAAGATGTACAGTTTGAAGACAAATGAAAAAACCATGAAATGGTCACTTTTTGCAGGACAGGTGACCAAATTCTTAAACAATCCTAGGAAAATGCAGAGCTGCTGGATAGTAGTGGTATCCTAATTCACCTTATGATAATGTACTAAACAACACGTCTTTCTTCCACTTGTCAGTTCACCCCTTTAAGCTACTGGAGGGGAAATTAAATACAAGAACAAACACCAGTCAAGCCAATCCAGTGCTGTTAGTGCTTAGTAATAATTACTCTAAATGTCTGCCAATCATCTTGAGTCTTCAGAACATTTCAAGAGGTGAAATTCTCTTTAAAATTTGTCTAGGTTAACAGAAATATATATACATATATCTTGACTTCAGTGCTATCTGTAAAGCCTTACACAATCACAATTAGATACAACACTGAAATGCATATTTTGTCTAGTCAAAGCTGCAGTTTAAATTAAAACCAAAATGTTGCAAGATTCTTTTTACAGTACTTAAAATTTAAGGCAAATGTATACAAAAACGCATAAAAACCTTTTTTAAAAAAGCTTTAAAAATACAAATAAAAGAATAAAGATATAATACTGTCATAACAAAAAGGCACTTTTGTTTTTGGTTTGTCTAGCATGTCTGTATGTGCATCTGTACACACGCACACACACAGCATCATCAGCACTGCAGTCTGCTATTGTCTGGCTAAGACTACACTTCTTATGGTAGTTAAACAATATTTTGCAGGCTGACTTCTTGCTTGATCACATAGTATGCTCAGGTTATGAAAATAAGGTCATATTGGTGCACACTATACATCACGCGTTCTCCAGACACTTGGGGTCGCCAGCTTATTTTTTTATAAAACAATCCATGGGCTCCTCGGTCTGAAAGAACTGTGTCCATGTGTAGGAATAGCTGGAGATGCAGCAGCCATTACCCATAAGGCCATGTGCCAGCTCCCCCTCCTAGTGAGGGATGCCGTAAAGGGGGGGGGGAAGTTAGGACAATTCCAGTAGCCCCATAAAACTTGGAAGATAATTGGGACATAGTGGTCTGGACTGAGAGAATGATATGCGTTCATGGGGCCCAAAATCTCTAGCTGTGCCTTTGCTTCCAGAGCATCGTCCATATTGAAATAGACATGAATATACATTATTGAATATCGCTACTCAATTCACACCCCCAGTGTTGTACTTGTCTCAAGTCAGTGGGGACAGGGAATGTAGACACATGGACAGGGGTGTGGCAGCCGGGAGGGGAGGCAGGGTCACTGGAGGGGAGGATGGGCGGGGGCTGGGGTTACAGTCGCTTCCACCCGCAGCGGATCACTGCGTCAGCACGCAGGAAGGGCTGGTTTCGGAGATCTGTGAGTGGGAGAGGACACAAGGGTGAGACCAGCAGGAAGACACCTGGCATCTGGAAGGCTCTAAAGGGTCAGAAAACATTTATCAGGGTAGCATGAAAGTGTGAGTAGAGGGACAGGCAGCGCGGGCGGGCGAGCCCCGAGACGGCCGGGGGACAGGCAGCGCGGGCGGGCGAGCCCCGAGACGGCCGGGGGACAGGCAGCTGGTTATCTCAGCATGGTACACAGGTTATAAGATTAGCAATATACAGCAAGCAGCTGACAGACATTTTATTTTTAACATAGGCAAGTTTGGAGAAGCACCAAAAATACTACCTTTCATAAGTTATCTTACTATGCTGCTGATCAAATCACATTTTATAAACACGGGATTAGTTTTTCTTTACTAGGTTTAACTGGCACTTTCCTAGTAGACTGTTGTAGAGAATAAAATTCAGATTTTTCTCTCACTGATATCTACTCCAACCACATACTTAAGCCGGGTTGGCAGTGGGCCTGGGCCTGATCTAGTGATGGGAAAATGAAGCTTCATGAACCATTTGCTGTATTTTTTGACCCCACTAGATGGTGCTCTTGGCTTGCTTTGGGGCATGCTTTGAGCCCTTTTTTGAACAGACAGCACCATCTAGTGGAGTCAAAAAAAATATCAAAATGTTTTATAAGTATCATTTTGCCCATCACTAGCCCGATCCTAGGCAGCACAGGCAGCACAGGTTACAAGGCAGGGCACTATCAGAGCGTGCACACACTACAGGTAATTTAAAGATGTCAGTTAGCTTAACTGTGTGTCCGGACTACAAGAGTCAATCCACAGAAGATAGAAAACTCCACACACAGAGAATGGGGGCAAATTTCAAAGCCCAAGCCCCTGTAACCTAGAAGGTGACAGTGCTTTATGTAGCAGCCAATAACGCAATAACTACCGTTATGTTCAAGTTATGTATTAACTACCAATAACAACCATTTTGCCATTCTTATAATAAAAGCCGATAATGTAATAACTTACCAATAATGTAACAAAATATCTGAACGAAAAATGTTTCACATTATTGACCAGTTATTGCATTATCAACATTACTGCGTTTTATGAAAGGAAAAATTATTAGATTATTAGCTGCTACACTCGCCCCTGAGCCACCATGCTGCATTTCTGCCCCAGTGCACCAGAGCAACGTCAGCTTCGGTCAAGGTCAATATGCTTGGTGCTTCGCAAAACGGCTGCATCAGGGTCCATCCCTGGACGACATCCAAGCAGCTGGCAGCAACAGGAAGCTACCCAGCTTACCCGCACTTTAGAGGGGCAAATGTACGGAGGTCAACCTTCAGTTTGGCTAAAAAAAACAAAAAAAGTCAGAGGTAAACATGTTAGGAAGGGAAAAAACATGATTAGTTAAGCCTGGATTTTAAGGAAACCCAGGTTCTCAAAGCCAAACCTCTCTCCATGATTTCATTGGAGCCTCAACTCCATGTCTCATGTACAGCTATATCTGAGCAACAGAAGCCAGGGATCTTATAAATAAAATAAAGGCTGGAATTAGGATAGATTTCAAATTAAAATGACAAATATTTGGACATTGTGCCAATTAAGCTACAAACTTGCTATTGTTCAGTACAAACAGCATTTGTAGAGATTTGGCTGGTGGTAAAGCGAGACGTGAAAGAACCAAAATGAAAACGCAGCTGGTTCTCGGGAACTGGGTTAGTTGGGAGGAGGGGCATGTGGATGAGCATGCAAACGTCGATGGGCATGCATGGGGTGGGGGGGGGGGCATATGGAGGAGGTCCAAACCACCTGGACTGTGTGTGAGCAGGGGGCAGCGTGGGGGTAAGGGGCTAGCAGTTGGACTCATCGTAGAGGTTGGTGTCACAGAAGAAGCGGGAACTCCGCTTGGCAGTACGGGCCGTGAAGGGCACGCTCTTCAATGCTGGGGGGCACAGAGACAACAGCACACCTGAATGGCCCCAGTCGGCACCACAGACAGTAGCAGGGATGCTCCTCGTACAGGAAAAAGGCCCTGAATTAATATGGAGTTGGTAGGCGCTGGGATAGAGGGGATATTAAGGCTGATTATCATGAAGGATTCGCTTAAGATGAACACCATATGACACAGAGTCTTTCTTGGTTAATGAGTCACTGGATTGGCTTTTGGGAACAGTACAGCCACTGGAGTAGGTGGCACACTGCGTCACCTACAGAGCAGTATATTTCCCAGCAGAACATCAGGACCGGCTCACTGTCTCGGCTGCATGGAGATTTTGACCTGGAAGGCATTGTGTCTCATCCGCTGAGGCATCCTAATCACATAACAGACTGTGTACTTTCTGCAGGGGGACGACTGTAGGACCACTGTGACCTTTGCCCTCAGGTTGGGTCCATGTTTACAATGCAGCCCACCTGTGATAATGTCCTCTATGGTGCCATCCTTGCCCTCATACACAGGCCGGTGGTCCTTAGCCTGCCGTCTGCGCAGCTCTGCGATCATCTCCTGCTGCTGCTGCCTCTTCTTCTGTGCCTGTACCTGGGACATCATAGGTATCTGCTGGTAGTTCATGCATTCATACAGTGACATGAATTCAAACCAGTGAAGCAGAGAAACATCTCAAAACTTCAGTCTGAAGCCTTTACCTTCGGGTTCTGCTGCTTGGCCTCCTGAGCCAGTAGCTTCTCCCTCATGGCCGCCTCCTGCTTCTTCCTCTGCTCATTCTCCTCCACAGCTTCCTGCACAGTCACACACGCACCAAGATCAGCACCCGTCACTTCTCAAGGCTACGTTTCCCATGACTGGGCTCAGGTTTCTGCGACACCCCCCGACAGATGGGACCAGGAGATCCTTCAGTCTTCCTGAGCAAATGCATAAATCCAGCCAGAGAACAATGCCAGGAAGGGCTTTGCCGCTGAGAGAGCCACAGCCGGGTTGGGGCCATAGCAGGGCGGGGGGCCAGTCTAAACACCAAGGCTGCTGTGAGAAGTGCAGGCCAGCTGGCCTTTCCTGTTATGTGGCCGCTGACTTTCCACTGCGTCCGGTGACAGAATAGGAGCCCATCTTTGTTGTTTTTAAATCCATGAAGCAACACAAATACACAAAAGCAAAGTTTCTGCAGAGGCGAAAACGGAGGCTTCCTCTGTCCGTGCGGGACGACGTGACCTCTTACCTTGTACGCCTTGACGAAACGCACAAACACAGGAAAGAAGACTGAGGGTGGGGTCGTCTTGGCACTCTCTCCAAAGTAATGAACCACACTGTTGTACGCTTCCTACAGGTCAGTGAGGGGACGAAGTTAATAAGTTTGTCAAGGAGGTTTGTGGTGTTGCTGGCTAATTTTTCTGATCGACGTGGACTGGTCTAGTGAATAGTGTGTTATATCACTTATTTGGGGAGGAGCATTTTAATTGTGTCTAAAACAAAAGGCTGTCACCTCTGCCGTCTTGGAATCCTTCTGCAGTTTGTCGAGCTGTGGCTCATATGTCTGCAGGAAGTCCTTGAGCACCACGTGATCATGCAGGCTGCACTCCCTACGGATGAGCTCCATACCCTTGCACAGCTCTCGCACATCCAGCAGGACATTCTCCAGCGATACTGTGCATAGAAACATGTACATCACTCCCCTGTGAACCGGGACCCTGCCCCGTTCCCGGATACGGCCTGGGGTGCTGACCAGCTGCTGCCTTGTCGACGAAGTGCAATTCGTTGAAGAAGTTGGCCAGATCCGGGTACTTGTCCTTCACAATGAGTGCAATGTAGTGCAGCAGCGTCAGCTTCCTGTCTGTAGACTTGGTGTCCAGCAACTGGAACGCAAATAAGCAGGAAGACCTCTCAGACTCGGAACTGGTCCAGGATCAGCGAGAGCTGCGAACCTCCTCTCCAAAGAAGCACTTACCAGATCCAGGCTTTGAAGCTTGAACCCGTAAACTGAGCCTCTTTTGCTGCTATTCATATAATTTCCCAAAGCTAAAATAATCTACATAAAGGAAGGAAGATAAATTAATATTAAAAATCCAGAGTAAGCAGAGATACAGGAATGTAAACCTAATATGATTATTATTTTGTGAAATGAGAACAGATTTAAGCTGTACGATGAAAAGAGGTCTGAGAGAGACGGAACAGCCCGCCACCTTTCCACATCGTACATGAATCATACACAGGCCAACAGCGGAACGCACCTCCAGCATTCTCTTCAGTTTGGGCGATGATTTCACCGAGGCAGATGCAGCAATAATTGCATTCAGTTGCTAGAAAAGGAAGAGAGTGATTGGAAACAAGGACACTGTATTCGTGAGCAGGGTCCTGGTACAAATCGCAGGATCCTGGTACAAATCGCAGGGTCAGTGCAGTGATTCAGCCTGGTGCCCCTGAGCAGCCATATCCATGGCACCTGCACCATATCAACCTCTGACTAAATATTGTCTAGTTTTGCTTTTGTCTCATATTTCCTGACGCTCCGTTGTTTTGCTGAGTGGAGTGATGACTGAAGTTACGGATCTGTGCCAGCAGCTGGAAGGTTGCTGGTTTGAATCCCGCAAATGCCTGGAGTAACTGAATGCCATTGGGCCCTTGAGCAAGGCCTTTAACCTGCAATTGCTTCATCCTGGGTATGATGTTAACCTACATCCAGCCCTGCAAGCAGGCGCGCCAACTTACAGGGAATATTTTGGGGTTGGTGGCAGGATTGGCACTGCAGCCACTGGGGGGAGGGGGGGTAAAAATACTCCCACTGTTCCTTTTGGACTAGCGTGGTGCTGAGGTGCTACCCGGCTGGACAGAGGGTCCCATCCCTGAGGTGGTTCATCATGTGGTGGGTGTGGCAATGCACCGTAATCAGCACATACCCCTTACCTCTCTTGTATCACACTGTCTGTATTGTTTTGCACTGTATTTATTGTTTCACACCATCTCTATTGTTGTGCATTGTCTTGAACTGTTTTACACTGTCTTGTATTGTAACCAACTGAAGCTACCCCAATTACTTTAGGGACTGGCTGACCCTGCTTTCGAAAATGTTTGTTGGTTTGGATATATCTGTTAAATAATTATAAATGTAATGCTTAGATATCAGTCCTCTCGGAACAACACAAAACCCAACATTTTCACTGTCCTGCCTGTGCCATCTTCACAATGAGCCAATGACACATACCGGAGTCAGCATATTGACGTTATCAATGAAGTTGCCCACAAAGGTGATGATCGTCATTCTTTGCGTGAGCCTTTCAATTTTGCTAAAGTGTAACATGAAGCGGTCCTCTTCAGCCAGCTGCTCCACTGGACGGCGCTCTCGCTCATACTGACGCAGAAGTTTGCCCTCTGCATCCGTGGGCAGGAATCGCATCAGGCATTCTATAAAGTCCACTGGCAGGGCCTTCAGGTCATACCTACAGGGAAGCATGACTTGGTCATCTGTAAGATCAGCACACCCAACAGTGAATACCAGTGGAGGGAAACTGCATCTACACCTACATCTGGATAGCTTTGCAGATCTCCTCTGTGCTCTTTGCAGCCTTGCGTAACGTGATGGCCAAATTCTTAGAACGGTTGGCATCTAGCAAGGTAACCTTGTTGACGATCTTTTGGGAAACTTTGTTCTTGGGGCAGGACAGGTCCATTACTGGACCCTGAGCTTTGGTTTTGAAGAGTTCCTCAAACTTGTCTAGATCCAGCTCCTGCAAATAATAGCAGACAGACACACAGGGTTATGCCTTTTTTTTTACAAAGAGCAGAGGCGACAGATGGCTGAACTCTGACCTCTAGAACTCTCTCGTCGTCAATCTCATTGAATACAGTGCCGTTGATCTGTGTGGGTTTCAGAGCCGTCCAGTTGAACACAGGCAGGCGAAACTTTGTCTTTATGGGCTTTTTGATTCTTATGGCTATAGAACAAAAGAATGGTTTTGAATTTTTTTTTTTTGACATTCACAGACAGACTACTGGAGAACGAGGACTTGGGGTCCCTCTGCCTGATCTACTATAACATCAGGATTTCAGCCTGTCATATGATAGATGCATTCATGTCAGAGTACAGCAGTATTAAGAGACAAAAGGCCTCACCTGATAGGCCGGTGCTGAGGATGACAGTTGGAGACGTGCCAGGCAGAGGCGGGGCTAGAGGCGGTGGAGGTGGCACAAGTACACAATCACCTATAGCATGAAAGACAGACAAGTGTCCCAGGAAAGGGGGGTCAGCTGTGTATTACCAGACGACCACGGCACGACATTATTATACTTTTAGGCACCGAAGTTCTAGAACCTGGTCCCTGGTCCGTCTTTGAACAGGGACTTTTGAAGCTCCTGCCCACTTTAGTTCGCTGCTTTCACACCGCAAAACAGAACTGGGACCATAATGTTAAATAAACATGGGAGATGCTAAAAATTTCTATGTTAAACTTCACACATCATCTGAAACTACAGCACCACCCCAAAACAACAGAGGAGGGACAAGTTGTATTGTTAAGCTGTTTGTTAGTTATTCGTTTGTTATTGGGGGACGGCGATTGAGATTATAATAAAATGGGACACAGCCTTTTATTTTATTCATTCAACCAACGATATGTTCATGATTCTTATTAAATCTGGCTGGCAGATTGATCTGTCAGTTTCACGAAATAAAAAACAACGGAACATTATTCCACTAATAAGCACTGGCCAGTTTCACCGCCGGCACAGGTGATGTTAGACAAAAGTATATTGGTATATTGAACAGATTTTCTGAAGCAGAAATATGGAGGCACAAGCAACAAAAAAAATCATTCATATTTTTCTCTCTTTTCCTGCCTTTCTGCGTAACTTCCAAGTTAGCCTGGGTGTTTGTGGTCAACCAATCAGCACGTTTATCACTGGAAGTACCTCCCAGGTAGTTCATGTTCAAACAAAAGTACCTAGTGTGGAGTAGGTACGAGAAAAGGATTCCGGAACAGCCTCCGAGGAACTACATCCCGGCGCTTTGAACGCAACAAAAGTTCCTTATTCTGGAAAAAGGTTCTGGTTCCTGAAAAAAGTTCCTGCGGTGTGAAAGTGCCCAGTGAGACTGGGAGAGCAAACCTAAAGTGCTCACATCCAGCTGTTTCCCTGCACAATGTAAAACTGTGGGAAACCAATCAGCAACAAACGTGTCGGCTGGGACAGTAAAAAGGCTGAAATAAATGCAGTACCTTGAGCAGAGGGCAGTGGGGGCGGGGGCGGGGGTGGGGGTGGAGGTGGTGGCACAACGGGCTCAACCGTGGTGGAGGGGATTTCCCCTGGAGCTCCAGGGCCCACCGGGCCTGCAGGCAGTGGGCTGATGATTCCCAGCGTCTCTCCAGCCACACCCACAGACAGGGCCTCAATGGAGATGTCTCCATCAGCCTGCTTGCACAGCCGGATGGAGCCCTGCTGCTCCAGCTCCTGCAGCCGCTTCTCCACGAGGCGGTGCCGCTGGAAGGCCGCGTCCTTCTCCTGGATCATCCTCCGCAGCGTATGCACCTGGGAGTTGGTCGACTCAAAGGTCTCCTGAGAGAACGCAGGGCATGATCAAATGAGCGTCTCGCGTGTCACAGCTGTAAGAAAGCTAAAGCTTCAATGGCCAGAAGCCTGAGGTGGGGATACACCCTGCACTGCATGCCAGGGCATCACACTGCACACCCACACTGCAGGAGACTGACAGACACCAGCTAATCTAACTGCATCTCTCTCAATCATACAATCCTTATCTGCTGCTGCAGCCTAACCATAACCGAGAAATGCTTTGGCTTAAATAATGTGTCAAATGATTTATAATTGTCCGTATTGCTGGCATCCCCACCCTTATGGCAACGAGGTCTTTGTCTTTTTGAAGGAGCGACTTCTCCAGCTCAGCTACTTTCATCATCGTTTCATTCTCCACGTCCAGCAGCCGTTCAGTCATCTTTTAGGCAAACGAAAAAGAAACGAATTACATGGGTGAGAGACAGAGCATAGATGAATATCACTGTGCTGCACAGGCAGGCGTGGCCATTAGGGGGCACCAGCCAGTGCAGGGGATTCCAAAGCTCGTAGATGACCATCAGTGTGAATTAAATCCAGCTTCACATGGCAAATTATACATACATGCTTTTCGCAGGGCACTTGTGCTGATTTACAGTCTATGTTATTCTTAGAATTTATTTTATGACTGAATAAGAATATTGAGACTAGATAACATTTTAATGGGTTATAAATTAATGACACAGGGATGCGAAGTAGCAACAGAGGCAGAGGGACATGATGCAGTGACACAGGGACACGCCAAGCAGTAACACAGGGACGCGAAGCAGTGGCACAGGAATGTGACACAGGGACACAGGGACAGAGGGATGGGAGTGGCAACATACAGACAGGAGTCAGCGACACAGGGACATGAAGCAGTGGCACAGACTTAGGAACCTAAGGACCAGGGGACGCAAAGCAGAAACACTTGGACATGGAGCAGCATCACAAGCACACGGAGCAGCATCACAAGCACACGGAGCAGCATCACAAGCACACGGAGCAGCATCACAAGCACACGGAGCAGCGGCACAGGGATTCACACACCATGTGAGGCAAAGATAGAGATGCTGAAGCACATTAAATGTCTCATGATACTCTGATCTTACGTGTGATAGCTGATCCTCCAACTCCTCCACCTTCTCCAGGGCCACGTTCTTGGTTTCCGCATCTTCCAGGAGTCCCCCTACGTCAAACACGTTATCTAGGTAGGCCTGGATCTGCACTGACAGCTTGTCGCTTTCTGTGTGTTTGCACTTCTGCAAGGAAAAGATCATCCAGTGTCTTGGGTTTCAGTCCAGTTAACTTCAGTCTTTTCCGTCAGCCGTTGGAGTTTCATGTTTTAATTGCATGACTCCCTACAAGCTACTGCAAATCACACATTGTTCATAACTGATTATATATTTAGGGACACAATTATGCAGAACCTATTCTGACAAGATACAATACAGACAAGATACTAATCCACAGAACATACCACACACACACACACACACCACACATACACACACACACACACACGTTTATACTCATATCTTTCTGGGGACTCTCCAATCATTTCTACAGGAAAAATCCCAAAGATGACAACCCTAAACCCTACCCAGCCCTAACCATAATCATAAGTTACAAAACGAAATTCGAGACTTACAACATTTTTAGTTTTTTGATTGAAGTTACAGATTTGTATAAAACTGAGTTTCCCCCACAACTTCAAAAATAACAGGCTTTTATCAAATTGTGAGCTGACAGCTGAGATATCATGAAACAATCATGTTTCTCATAATTTTAACTGAATTATAACATTGACTTGTTGTTGAATGTTATTGGACCAAGAATGGTCATACCTCCAAGAAGTCATCAAGACCCAGCTTGGTGAACTCATACTGTAGGTGGACACGGAAGTTCATATCTTCCACTGAATGAACAACAATGTTGATGAACTGCATGCAAGCAACCTAAAAATGAGAGGAGAGATAAATGCATGATGAGCTACGCCACTCAGATGCCAGTGCTGCTTCCCTAACCCCTTCCTGGTGAAACCAGGACAATCTTCACTGGATCATGCTGGATAATCCAGCACAATATCTGTCTGGATACTGCTGGATTAACCTATATTGCTAATTCTTCATAAATCTTTTTCTCAAATTTATAGGAAATAAATCAGAGCATCCCAATCAAGATCCACCACAGTGAGATACTAACCATGAAGTCAATGTTTCCATCTTCACTGCGGAAATACTCCATTAGCTTCTCAAAGCGATGCTTCTCTTTGCACACCTGAAATGGGAGGCAGAGAGATATCAGATTCCAAGCCACTGGCTCCAAACCTTAACTGGGAAATAACTTAATTCCACAGAATGGAAAGTTCCAGAAGAAAAATATGTATGTTTGTGAGGCTTATATGCAAGAGCAGAATTTTAACTCAAAACAAATGATTTAGATATTATGGAATACTGAGGATGGTCATATTAACAAGACTGAAAATATTATATATATTAAATATATATGCAATATATCAAAATGATTACTTAATTGTTTCAAAGAGTTTCCAGATGTGTAATTCAATGCTGAAGCCCAATGGGCGATCAGGTTACAACCTCACACCTTCCAGCTAAAAGATCTCAGTCCTTCATTCGGAGGGAAAAAAATCCTAATTATGGGAACTCATGGGAATAGAGGAAATAGAGGTATAGAGGAAGAAGCAAAAATAAGGTGGGAGCGAGCATGAGATACTCTGGCTGCTGCCAGGCCACAGAACTCTCCGAAGACAAAGAAAATGGGACTTTTCCTCTATATAAACAAAGGCAGTACGGACTGTACTCAGGGTTTCACATTTTCACGGTGCATCTTCGTAAAGGAACCCGGCCGTACCCGACTCGTACTGCAAAGAGAGACTATTTACAGCAGGGTTCCAGCTCGCTTTTCCACTGCATGGGAGTAAACTCGGTAAAGGTATTGCTGGGTTTGAAGGGGGACGCGTAAAAACCGGAGAGATTTATTTACCGTTCACATGGTGTACATCATGATTCACTATGTACCAAATTGCGCTAGCACATTGGTGAAAATCGCCGTGTTATGTCCGCGGCAAATGATACTGGAATTAGCATTAGCTTGCGTAAATTTGCATTACGAATACATTCCGTTCAATCATTCTCTGGTCATTTTTAAGGAGGAGATACTATTAATACTATTGCTCATGAATACTATTAATAACGAATAACGTATAGTATACGTTTTTCCTTCAGAGAATCCACATATATCAATGCAGATCAGCGGTATCCATGGTTATAAGAGCACCTACAGTATAAGTTCCTGATAATGTTAGACCATTTATTGGATGCTGAAGTATCCTAAAGAGAGTCATACCTCTTTGAAGTTGTCAAATGCTGACAGAATGATTTCATGACCACCTCTAACTAAACATACAGCGGCGAGTAACTCCAGAACCAGGGCCTTCGTCCTGAAAAGGAACACAAAGATGCAAAGATACAAAATGACACCCAAAGATCAAGGCTCAGTGTGTAATATCTAATATTTGTTTACTCATCACAAATGAATAGGAGAATCAGTTACAGAATTACACCACATTGCTAATCTAGACACTGTCATCAGCTGCTACAGGTTAACAAAACGTTTCCTTATTATATGGAAGCAGATTGTGGGGATCCACAGAAAGAAGTTTAAAGAAAGAAAAATATCCAAAACCGTAAAACCCTCAATAGCATTAAAAAACAAACTATAATAGAAAGCTATTACTTAGACCATCAGGTGTTACTGAGGTCACCTGGAACCACACCCAAGCATTAAAAGCAGGATATTTCTGTATACAATGCAAGAAGATCCGAGGACCGACCTGAAGTTCTTATTGTTCAAGCTAAGTGCAATTTCATTCACTGCATGGGGGTGAGACATCACCATATTGAAGCCATACTGTAGAGTACAAACAGAGGAAAAATGATCAACATTTATTCCATTCATTATTAAATCATAGATGAACTGATAAAGAATCTTATCAATTTAGGCAACAATAATTATAATATAATTGTCAGTACATCCATCTATACATTTTATCCTGTACTGGTTCACTGTGATAACAAATTACAACTATATTATATGTTGTTGTTTTATAATAATTATTATAGATTTGATAAATAGAAACTTGATATTTCACGTCTTCTGCCAGTTTTAATCTGCACCATACAAAGAATTCTGACATGCAACGCAAATCCTGCGAACCCCGAAAGCTGTGAATTTGGAGTTTATTATGTGCTGCGCAGCTGAAAGTGCAGTAAATGCTGATTATGCCAACACTGCCCCACTGCAGGGTGACGGCAGAAGTACCTGGTAGTTCATCACCGCTCGCAAGCACATGATGCACACATGCACGTCGTCTTTCTGGCTGACCAGCCTGGAGTTCTTGATGGTTTTGCTGTTACTTATCGTATTGTAGCTGTAAGAAAATGTAATAATGGTGACTGTCATTACTGATGCAATGCAAAGCTTCCACAATACAAGAGCTCCTTAGGCGCTACTCAAGTGAACTAAGAAAGAAGTAGTAAATGGCGGAAGTTGAGAAAGTCCGTTCAGAGGGTTTGTGCCCTGACCTTGATTCTACACACTCATGTGTTTTGAGACTTCCTTATTTCCGAAAGAATACTAGTTTCATAATATAATGCATGGCCCGACAGAGCTGCATCTTAACACCAGGGGGTGCTGTTCAGGAGGTGGTTGTGAGAGCGCAGAATTTTCTTCTTTTAATTTGCAGAGGTGAAACTGGGACAGGAAAAGCAGGCAGCAGTGTGGTTACTAATGCAATACTGGGGGCAGACATCCATGCGAGCAGATGACATCCGCTTCCTGTCGAGCACTATGTCATCAGATATCTCACGCATGTCAGGGGAGATGTCAATGTCACCTTATGCCGACTGCGCATACCTGCATGAAAAGGGTACCTCTGAGACTGAGACTGAGACTGAGACTGAGCTGTAATAGTGGATATTTCAGCCACCTTCCCTTAGTATTTCTCAGTGTTGCAGCATGACTGCTAGCCATGTGCACAATTGTCATTATCACTGTGAATTCTGGTCTTGATCACCAACACACCCCTTACAAACACACACACACAGGCATATCTATCTAAATGGGGACCCTTCTATTCATTCTTATGGAAAAACCCTAATCCCAATCACAATACCCTTAACCCCTACCCAGCATTAACCTATAAGTAACCAAACATTTGGTCCCCACAATGTAAGGTGTATCTGGACGACACAAACACACACTTTCTGTAACCACTTGTCGTATTCAGGGTCGTGGGGGATCCAGAGCTACAGGTGTAAGGCAGGGAACGACCCAAGTGGGGCACCAACCCAACGCAGGGCACACTCACACGCCATTCACACTCACACGCCATTCACTCACACAGGCACACTTACGGGCAATTTGGTGTTTTTGGACTTGGAACCAGAGCACCCACAGGAAACCCCACAACAACACAGGGAGAACATGCAAACTCCACACATGGAACCCTGACAGAGTCTAACCCTGGTCCCAGAGGTAGGAGTCAACAGTGCCAGCCGCTGCGCCACCGTGCCACCCCCCTCACACATATATTGCTGTCTACATAATCTATCATGTAAGCAGTAATGCGTCAGGGAGGACTGTACAGAGGAAGCAAGAGGCTAAGAGTTAGTGCAGAAGCGCCTTGCAGCAGTACACACCGGAGCACCGACTGGCGCGCGGAGCGAGACAGCGTGTTGCAGAATGGCTGGATGCCGTTCTGATGCAGATCTTCAATAGACCTGCTCCAGGACTTAGCCTTGTCCAGGGAGCCCTCGTCCCCGACCTCAAGCCCCTCAAAATCCAACCTGGGGCAGCAGACACACGGACAGAGAATCACAGACAGACGTGGAGAGGCAGTTCGGATGACAGGCGACAGCGTAACAAGGAGGACCAGCTGGAACACGGTGCCGCAGGGCAGACATTGGGAGCACATCACGGCAAGCAGAACCATGACTCAGAGCAGCACCACAGCAAATCCAAGCTGGCTGCAAGGCCTTCAGGCACAACAAAGCAGTCGGTTTCTACCAAAAGTCCTCGACTGATTTTTTCTATGCGTTCTCATTTAATTAAAATGAACGTCTCTGTTACACTGAAACCAGAGAACTGAAATCACAAGGTTATTCTCTATTTAATTATATGCTACATACAGGGCCTGTATTCCATAACCAACTCGTACAACAACCAATCACCTCTTTGAATAACAAGGAATGTGCGATAATTCTGAAAGACCACTGAGAAGATCAGTGTCAGCTGAGAGAGCTCTGTGGAAACAAATACTCACATGACGGCACACTGAGCGAATGAAAGATACTTCACCAGGATATCCAAGCCTTGATTGTCATCGTTGAGGAACTCTCGAACCCACCTGTGGGATCAGCAACCGAGTTAATGACCCAAGCTAGGCTACTGATTGAACAAGCGGTATAAGCAACTGAATCCGCCACCAACTTGACCTGGCAATAGTCAATAAAGTCCAAGTCAATAAAGTACTCACCTTCAGTTTATAAATTAATAGAAAGAATCCTACTACTCAAGCCAGAAAAAAACATTGTGCAATTATTGTGCAATAATTGTATTGCTTAATTGTAGTAATCATCATACTCATGCTATGATATTAACATATATACTGCAACCAACAGTAATGACCAATGTCAGGTGACCCTTAAAATGCCTCATAACTCCAAGACCCTGGAATTGTGGGTGGAAATGATAAAATGATAAAAATGTAGCTTAAATGCAGTAGAAATTTAGCAGACGATTATGCTTATATCCAGAGCGACATACATTTTTGAGCAAGCAGAGCTAGACGGGTCCGAGAACAAGCAACAAATTTCCCAAATTCATTCAGTCCTTAATTAATCTAACTAGGAACCTTCGTTACATTTCAAAAACTCACCAAGCCCACAGAATCTCTCTCAAAAATGTATCCCATGGACTGAGTGAGTTTTGGAAATTTGCTCTCCAACTGGGGTTTAAGAGTCACGTTCCACAGTGGTGCCACCAAGCTCAGCACGTGTCCCTTCAAGGGTAAGTGTCACAGGAACACTCCGGTGCCCGAACCCCCCCCCCCCCCTGAAACCAAAAGGAAATGGTATGCGACTCAACACAGAGACTGTGGAGCAGATCTGTTAAAGGGTAGGGGCTGCCTGGATGGCGAGATTCCCAGTAAGCACCCCTCCCTCGCCTTTTCCTGTCCAACCAGATGCTTTTTTGGTTTGTAGTGGCATTCTGGGGAATAACAGATCGGAGGGATACACACAGGACAGAAGTCTCAGGGAACTTATTTATATGCATATTCAGCTAAATGTATTACAGGGGACTTTATTTCTCATTAAAGAAAAATAAAGATGGGCAACTTTAAACAATTTACAAAGATGTCATTTACTGAAACAAACTTAATGTATTATCAGTGTAAATGGTCCAGGCATGTGAGAATATTGCATTTGTTTATCTTAATTTAATGTGTGTTCAAGACCCACACAAAGCTTGTTCTGCGCATTTGTAATTAGCTCCATTGTCGGACAAACTGCCTTCCTGGCCCAGTGGCACACAGAGGCACATTTCCTGCCCATTAAGAAAATGGGGGAGTCGTCATATTCCGGTCCTGCAAGACCAACGAGGTGCATCACAGTGATGGAGGTGGAGACCAGGAGCCACCAGGACTGACAGAGGTGCAAATTAAAAGTGGAATTTGAGCAACGCACCAAAGGCAAGGAGTATGATTGTGTGATTACCCAATATGATTGGTCCTCAGCGATATCTCCAGCTCTCGCAGAACTTTTGTGGATTCTTGAACTCGCCGGCGAAATTTCTAGAACACAGAAGTTTACAATTATGCATCTCCGTTTTAAGTGTAATGACGTTTTCAAAAGATAAACTGGACAAAAGTAAAAGAAATTGAACCGAAAAAAATAACCATATAAATAAAAAACTGCAGTTCGATAAATTAACAGCGAAAGAAAGCAGCAACAATATCAGGCCTGTGAGAACACAGCTGTTTTGTGTGAGCTCACCTTCCGTGTGACCCCTGGGTCTAAATAGCTCCGTAGCTTCTGGATGTAAGTGTGGGGGGGGTTTTTCACCTGAAAGCGTTCCTAAACAGACAGACCAAGCGTCAGCACAGGAAGAACATCACAGCCGCCCGTGAAGCGGATGGAACAGTGGCTCAATACACACGCTGAGGCTGTACTAGCACACTTGAGAGTGCTACTCATTCACATTAATACCACTTCCTCTTCATTCTGTATGAAATATGGAGGTAGGACCAGCAGCAAAAACATATAATAAGTGAGATGCTGTGGATACCTGATCACAGATGAGGTCCCACTTCTTCTCGTTGTCATACTGGCGTAGGAGACGTGCTTTATCAGGGGGAAGGTTCATGGAGTTCTGCAAAAACAGGGACAGAGGTCTTGATAAGGAGGAGTCTAGGTCTGCTACTGATGGGTCACCTCTATAAGCCAGTGTGAATGCACTGGGCCAGTGAAAGAGCCCACAGTTTCATGTCCCCTTCAGCAGTCAGGGCCTTTCCAGAACTGTGCCAGTGACCTTGTTTCCTCAATATAAAGATAAAATAGTCCGGATTCTTTTATTAGCACACAGAAGCAGATTTGTACATGGATTTTTCTGTCCAGCTGATATTTCCATCTTCATTGCCATAAGAACTTCTTAAAAGGAAAAAACTTAGATTCCAACAGTAGCACGACATCTCATGGAGCTTCACATTAAAAAAGCATAATCCTAAGATTCATCATTAGAGAGCTTATTCTAACATAAGTGATTAATTCATCTTGCTCTCAAGCTAAGTACAAGATTGACCTTTGTTGTCATGGGTAGGTCACGCTAACAAGGCCTGAACAGCCCATTCTCATTGCCTCATGCAGACAGCACCAGCTTTCCCTCTTCAAACGGACCGTGCTTTTCCAGCGGCGACTTTTATCAAAAGGAAATCGGTGGTGATTTTGGCACGAGACACACAGATGAAGCTAACGAAACAGAGTGCCCTTTGAGCTCCAGGACGCAGAGAAAAACCACTGCACTCAACATCCAAAACCCATAAAGTCAAAAAGAAACATGCATTCCAGATGTTCAGAATTACAGAATAAATGTGTTGATTATAAAGAGCTACAAAGTAACTATAAAATCTGCCGGTCTCTCCATCTCCCCCTGGTGGATCAGGACCAGCACTGGATGTCCATCTATCACAGAGACTGTAAGCGTAGGGGTTGGCTAACTAGGAATGGTGTCAAATATGCCCTAAATCTCTCACTTCTCATAGCACTATGCCCACACAATGTGAGATGTTACCATCAACATTGCATGTTATACACATGCAATTGTCACATCACAAGGAATGCGATATTTGGGTTGAGGTTAGGCTTGGGCAGTATTTTTCAGACCATCATACTGTATGGACAGTACTGGTACATGGTATTTTGACAGTTTTTTTTTCCCCAAAAGAAATATCATTCTGATATTTTGAAATCTGGGCAATTTGGGTCATCAATAAGTTTGGCCAAAACATTTTTACTCATAGGGTACAAAACTTTGCAAGTCTTGCAGTTTTAATGATTGCAAAATATTGATTTAATGATTAAATGTTAATTTTCAAGAATATCAAGTATAAAATCATCATACAGTTTAGCACCATTCGTGCATGAGTTCTGCATGCACTCTCCAAGTCAATCATAATCATACAGTCAAAAATATACAGTAAACTGGTGAAATTTGCAGATGACACCAAGGTGGGTGGTGTAGCAGATACTGAACTAGCGGCTCAGCAGCTACAGCAGGATCTTGATTTAATTAGTGACTGGGCCGATACCTGGCAGATGAAATTTAACATAGACAAATGTAAGGTACTCCATGTAGGGAGCAGAAATATAAAGTACAGGAATTTTATGGGACCTACTGAAATAAAGGTAGCTAATTATGAGAAAGACCTTGGCGTGTATGTTGATGCTTCCATGTCTCATTCTCGCCAGTGTGGGGAAGCAATAAAAAGGCCAATAGGATGTTGGGGTATATCTCCAGGTGTGTGGATTTTAAGTCGAGGGAGGTGATGCTAATATTATACAATTCCTTGGTGAGACCTCACCTAGAATATTGTGTGCAGGTTTGGTCACCATATCTTAAAAAGGACATTGCAGCCTTAGAAAAGGTGCAGCGTAGGGCCACAAGAATGATTCCTGGTCTTAGAGGAATGTCATACGAGGAAAGGTTAGTTGAGCTAAATCTGTTCAGCCTCAAGCAAAGGAGACTGAGGGGGGACATGATCCAGGTCTATAAGATTCTAATAGGTTTGGATGCTGTTCAACCGAATAGTTACTTCAGCATTAGTTCAAATACAAGAACTCGTGGCCAAAGGTGGAAATTAGCGGGAGAACATTTCAAACTGGATTTAAGGAAGCACTTCTTTACACAGCGTGTAGTCAGAGTATGGAATAGTCTTCCTGATAACGTAGTGCAAGCTGAATCCTTGGGTTCCTTTAAATCAGAGCTAGATAAGATTTTAACAACTCTGAGCTATTAGTTAAGTTCTCCCCAAGCGAGCTCGATGGGCCGAATGGCCTCCTCTCGTTTGTATAGTTCTTATGTTCTTATGTTCTTATTTTTAACCTTACTGTTTAAATCACTCATACATACGTTTGTGAGAAAATCTTATAAAATGAGTGAGGAGGAGAAAAGTGAACAAAGGACATTCATCATCTGCTGCATTGAAAGATTTTGGATTCCTTAAAGACAATATTGAGCAAAAGCCAGTTATTTGCTGACAACTCACAGTAACACCATTGACTTATTTGACAGACACTATTGGTAGATAAGTTCAATTTGGCAATAGTTTGAGTAATTTTTCCCAACTCCTTTTTTTCTTTAAAATGATCTTGATATTTATTGCTAAAATTTCTCATTGCCATCCATCCATCCATTTTCTGCCGCTTATCCGGGGTCGGGCCGCAGGGGCAGCAGTCTAAGCAGGGATGCCCAGACCTCCCTCTCACCAGCCACCTCCTCCAGCTCCACCGGGAAAATACCATGGATTTCCCCAGACCAGCCGAGAGATATAATCTCTCCAGCATGTCCTGGGTCTCCCCCGGGGATCTCCTCCCGGTTGGACATGCCCGAAACACCTCCCCAGGGAGACATCCAGGAGTCATCCTAGGTAGAAGCCCAAACCACCTCAACTTGCTCCTTTCAATGCGGAGGAGCAGCAGTTCTACTTTGAACCCCCCCTGAATGTCCGAGCTCCTCACCCTATCTCTAAGGCTGAGCCCAGACACCCTGCAGAGGAAACTCATTTAAATTCACATTGCCATATTTTTGCAACATCTTGCAACCTTACATGGCACTGAAACTGCCTGTCTGGTCCCTAGAGCACATCGGTTTGCTAAAGCTACACAGTCCGGCCTTAGCCTGACCCCACATCTCACAATAAAACACATACAAAATAAAACACAGCTGAGGGATCAGGATATAGACCACATTCACACTGTAAATACACAAATGCAGCACAGAAAACGCAGCTGAGGGATCAGGATACAGACCACATTCACACTGTAAATACACAAATNCTGTAAATACACAAATGCAGCACAGAAAACGCAGCTGAGGGATCAGGATACAGACCACATTCACACTGTAAATACACAAATGCAGCACAGAAAACATGAGAGATTTTAGCACAAATTAGCATGGACTGGTTGCTGTTTGGTAGAATAACATGGCTTCTAAAGCCATATCCTTGCACTTCAGGTCTTGAGGGCTACTGTGAGCTTACAAACCCTTGGTGGCCATCAAATCTGAGCATCCGTTACAAATCTATCTCCACTGATAAACAAGAGAAGGTGAACAGTGACTTTCTTGTGTTCCTGGACACTGTGGCCTAAAGCCTAAAATTAGACTCAAGAGTTCTTTGTTGTCAACACTTCCATGTAAAATACACAGTGCATTGAAATACTGTTTCCTTTGGGCTCTCGTGGTGCTACATAAATACAAACACAATAAATAAACAATAAGATCCACAACACAATTTAATAAATAGAATAGAGATATAAATAAATGCACAATTTGGTTAGATTATGAGTTCTGTCTACAGCTGCATCAAAGTCTCACATATATACAGAATTAATGTACATGAATGCAATAGATACACATGGAATTAATTTAAACACCCAGAGAGAAACTCTGAGAGACCAGCAGGCAGACAGTTCCCAACCCCCAGTCTGAGGACCAGTACTGGTCCACGGCCAGTATTCCGCCAGAATAGTGAACGCTTGGGGATTTGCAGAAGGGTTGGTTTATTTCCAAATATAAACTATATTTAATTTTATTTTATGACCCCTCACCCTTGCGTGTTCACATCTGAAACAACGGAAGTGATTAAACATATAAAACTGCTGATATAATGATGTAAACTGATCCACAAACATGAAAATTTGAGAACCCTTACGTTAGGGTTAGGGATCTAGGATGAAGAGCTGTGTCTATGACTCTCGCAGCATGGGGTAAGGGACCTTTCCTGGCATTTAACTGCTATAACAGCTATTAGGTTATCAAACAGGAATCTGGTTCGGTTGTGACTTTACACACATCCGGTAGCCATCGGGAACTCTACCCCACATACTTGCTACTGTAATGTTCTTTCAACAGTTGCAGTTGGCCCTACAAACATCTCCACCCTATAAACACCGCATCCACTAGTGCCTCCCCTGCTTTTAAATGTCCAACTTTGAAACCCAGTTATCTGTAATAACTTCTGTGACTCAGCTTGACATATTTTCTACATTTATTCCAGGTATGTGACGGCTTAAAGCTGTTTATTCAGCAACAGATTTATACTCTTTCAAAATGCAACAGGATCTTCCACTGGCTTATAGCAGCATACTTCTAGAAAGGGTCCCTATGTACTTGAATATTATGGAGTACAGATTAGACCGACCACAAAACTCCAAAGTCTCCTTTGTTTTCCAATAGAGAAACATGACACATATTCCATAGTAGCTGCAGCCCACATGATATTAACACAGGAGCTGGACACACTGAGCTCTGTCTCCATGGTAACGCCCCACAGCCCACATGATATTCACACAGGAGCTGGACACACTGAGCTCTGTCTCCATGGTAACGCCCCACAGCCCACGTCATATTGACATAGGAGCTGGACACACTGAGCCCCGTCTCCATGGTAACACCCCACAGCCCACATGATATTGACATAGGAGCTGGACACACTGAGCCCTGTCTCCATGGTAACGCCCCACAGCCCACATGATATTGACACAGGAGNTATTGACAACTTAACAGGTCTGGGCAGTCTATTCCCCAGGACTCAGTGTGACTCAAAGGCTATGAGATATAATAATGAGTCCTCTGATGGACCAGTTTGCATT